CGCGAGTGTGACATGACTCTTCGTAATAAAGTCTGACAAACCTTTTCTGGCTCGATGGGGGTCCGTTCATCTCTATCATAACTTGAGAAGTTTCATCTATATCATAACTTGAGAAGTTTAAGTTAAATCTCAGTGGTGTCCAGTAAGCATTTGATCAACCACCTCAATGAAAGCTTTCTTGGTGTGAGAAACTGTATCTCAAGAGTGGATATTGTGTAACAAACTTTTAATGCTATGTATGTAACCCCATTTTTAGTTTTTTTTTCTATATCAGTACTTTATTTTCCTATATGTATATTTGCCTGTAATTTTTTATAGCAATGTGGATTTTTTTTTTTTACTTCCGTTTATCCCATGTATGTGACCATTGTGTTTTTATTATGTATATCTCGTTGCGCAAGTTTTATGCCTGTAATAGTTCTGACATGTTGTTATGATTGCATGTAGTATGAAACAATGACCAAAAGTAACAGTTATTTAAAGAATCTGTGCAACTACTGTAAATGTTTTGCGAACTTTACCGCATAATTTGAATCTTGGGGAAGGGGGGAGCTGTGTAATGGTCACAATGGCACGGCTGGTCTATTTGAAACCTGATGATTCATATTATGCTCCACGCCCTCAAAACACGTGGATAACTGCGGAGTTACCTCTAAATATAAGCGCGTTTTCTCTAGCTTAGGTGTCGACCATTTTCTCTAACCTCCTGAAACCAACCTCTCTATAAAGTAAATTTGAATGGGTGTGAGAACACCATTGTTTTGAGTCGACTTAGATATGTTTGATTACAGATGAAACATTCAAGATCCCTTGTGAGTGATGTTGAAAGCTTCAACTGTCTTTATTGTTAGTAAACCTTGTCAAATAAGTGAGTGTTGCATCTGCCTGCAAGAATGGCATCTCCTAATCTCGCCCTTGGGGATAACCATGAGTTTCCAAGTTAGATCCTTTTGATGTCCAATCATCAGAGAATCTGATATTTGTAGTTTGGTTATTGTCAGTTGTCTATTTAAGAAAGCAATTAATTTCCCGAAAAGATTCTGTCCAAGATCTCCACAAATACCCATTGAAGGTCCTTGTCTGAAATCCCACCGTTGTTGTGAGAATGACGGCGAGCTCAACCTATGATTAGATTGTAATAATAGATGTAAGAAATTCACCTGACCCATGACACTGAGTTTCACAGTTAAATGTACAGGAACTGGGTTGAATCGAAATTCTGTCATTGCATGATTAGCCTTTCTGGCATGTCTAAGACAGGCCTGAGTTGCCAGTTAGCCGTATATAAACGCGTGTACGAGGAACGGCGTCACTTCTCTGACGCTACTCGCATTTCTCAGATTCCTGTAGGTCAAGAGTGGTCGTTGTATGTTAGGACGACATCCAACCCTAGTAGTGGAGATGGATGAAACCACTGAGACCTAATAGCGTCATATCCACGTGGCCCAGCCAGGCCGCGGCTCGGCCAGCCCAGCCAGGCCAGCTGCCCGCCAACCTGTGTTGACTGTCCATCCATGATGATCTCACGCATCATAGTAAACACGGCCAGCTCTCTGTAGCAGTGTTGTGTGTTTTGAGTCCACCTCTAAGTAGAGTATGCTGCGGCTGTGTTATTCAGCTGAGTACTCTATATGTATCTCCTCAGGGCAAGAGTGTGTGGAAACGGCAAGAGTATGAATGAGGTCGCCACTTATTTCTTGGTGAATGTAGAAAATAGCAGAAAGAAGCTACACCCCTGATAATATTAAAGTAGCATTGTTGGTATGTTCCTAGAGTCCTGTGACTGATTAAGAGTTAAGAATCTCAGGTACCGTGTATTGCTGGTACTCAAGTGTGCCATATGTAAGCTTGTCATGTGGTGTGATCTTTTAAATGTACAATCAGTAATGATATAAGAAGCTAGTGTATCCAATTGGAATTGCAGATGAGTAAAGCCAAGGAGTTGACCTTTGTAGTTGTATGTTAATGACACCTTTAACCAAATTTAATTTCATATTAATAAACCATTTTTAGAGTATGTTTGGGGTATCATTTTCCCTCAGTATCTACCTTTATTCTTGTTCAATAGCTTGATACCAGAATTACAGTATTCACGTGGCCAAACCCTCGCCACGCTACCAAACGTCAGAGGTTATGAAGCAACTATATGAAATGAAATAACTAGACAGAACTAATGAAAAAAATGAATGAAGTAAGAAATTAAGAGAAAAACAGGATGAAGAGTTTAATAGTTAACAGCAGGAAGATAAATTATTAGGAAAAGACTAATAAGAAATCCGCCCCTTTATAAATGGATGAAGTTCACATTGGTTCAGAATGTAGCCAAAACAGGTATAAAGTGTACAAAGACAGATCGTAGTAAAGCTAGCCAGATGTTTTATAATTATGGACAATTTCATTTTGTTCGATATCAGTTGTGAAAAATTTTAAAGAACTTTTTTTATATCAAACAATGTAAGAACGAAGTGGTTATTTGACCTTTACTTCCCCGAGCATACCGCGTCAGCATATAGTCGAAAGTTGAAATTCTAGCAGCCAAAACTAGGGCCACCGTATTCTCCACCTCGGAGTCGTGGTTAGGTGACACAATGTGCAACTTCTTGACAGACACAGATATGGTGGCGGTGTTTGTGCTTATATAAGAAATGATTTGGCCTACAACCTTAAATCCTAACTTGGAGTACTGCTCTCATATCTGGGGTGGCTCCTCTTCTGTCCAGCTGTAAGATAATCTTTCATCCCTTTCTCTTTGCAGCAATGTTGCTTCGCTCTCTCTGTTTCACAGGTACTTTAACGAGCAATGTTCGGTGGATTTGGCATCCTGTGTACCATCGGCAAGGTCGAGGGCTCGTAACATCCGTATTGCCAGCGGTGCCCACCGTTTCTCTGTGGATGTCGGTCGCACTAGAAAAACCCGTTATAGTACACCCTTCTTTCCTCACACAGCCAAACTATGGAATGCTCTGCCTTCTTCTGTGTTCCCATACTCATACAATCTGTTTCACTTCAAAAAGCTGATTGTTCCGGCATCTTGGTGGTGTAGATTAATATAATCTTTTCCTTTTTTATTTCTGTTTGCTCTTATTTTTTCGCCCCTTAGGCCCCGTCGAGGGTCGATGACCTGTGCCCGGGTGGGCTATTCCCCGGAAAAACAAAACAAAACATATATATGACTTACATGATGAACATCTCAAGGGCTTATGGCTGAAAATATTGTACTGATCACAATAGTACATGTTAGTTATCTTTAGATAAAATTATTCATATTACGCTCAATAGGCCAGAAAAAACATGTATGAATTATTTCTCGAGTCACCTACTGAAGTGTCCGTTTTCTCTCGTATGTTCTAACTTAACCATTTTCTCCAAGAAATACCACGTGAATGTATGTAAATTTGAAATTACTATTAAGAGTGTATGTGTAACCGTAAGATATGTATACCTAATGTTAGCTGAAGTATTCAAGATCCATTGAGTGTTATGTTGAAAGTTTCAACTGTATTTAATTGTAATAAGAACTGTATTATATTGTGGCGTACGAGATGTTTGGTTCACATTTAGGTTGGGATGGAGAAAGGAAACTCACAATGTGCTCTCTGTATACATAGTGTATTGGATGTACAGTGTAGCTTGTGGGTCGCCATGCTCGCCGGCTGGAGCGAGGGCCGCCAGGCAGGAGGAGGAGGAGGAGGTGTTGCTTGCTGGTTGGTGTAGGTAGAACAGAGAGTGGTCACCACGAGGTCAGGTCTTATATAGCGGAGGTAGGCGTGGCTTAATAGTTGACCTCCGTCATGTAAGGCGGCGCTGGTTGACCTGGACCACGAGGCATACACTGGGAATTCGCGGGGTCGGCTACTCAGCGACAAACAGCGTTTGCACGGGAGGTATCCACTACAATATAATATAATTATCCTGAATGATACAGCCTGAGAATTCCATTATTTTTGCGTCTTGTTACACAATTAATTGTTAGTTCGTCGCCAAAATTACATTTCCTTGATCTACAGATATCAGAGAATCTGATGATCGCATTGAAATTATTGTCCTATTGATATTAACATATCCAATGAATGCATGACTGTTCGCTGGCAGATGAAACACTAGAATGTAGCGTCCAATCCGTATATTTTGTGGGCGATTTAATTGATCCATTGAAAGCTCAAACACTGATTAGATTATAACCATTAGCCTTAATAAATGCGTGTAACTCATTAAAGATGCTACTTGCATTAACATGAACTGCACACAAATCAGAGTAATAGACCTGTAATCACTACCTTGATATGTCACTGTATATACTGTTACTCCTTTGCTGTCACTCGAGAGGCCGATACGGGATCGGCAAGGCCGTCCACAGATGTTGCACGTGTGGAGGGCTACATCTAGTACGGGAGGGGCGGCGGCAGCAGTGTCTCTCAGGCGTTGGTGCTTATCTGCCTCGGTATGCAGTCGTGCTAACTGGAAAGTATTGACACCTTCTCGTGTGGTGCTCCTCCAAGCGTTACGTTATGAAGTGATCATCTCCCAGGTGAGGTGGTCGATTTGGCACTTTTTCAGGTTTGTCTTAAGACTATCCTTATACCTTTTCAGTTGCCCGCCAGCGTTACGTTTACCATTCGTTAGGTGACTGTAAAGTAGCTGCTCTGGCAGTCTAATGTCTTCCATGCGAGTAACATGTCCAGTCCAGCGTAGTTGTTCAGGGATAACGGTAGCCTCGATGTTCCTGCAGTTGGTGTTAGCGAAAATACTGGTATTTGTGTTCTTGTCTTCCCAGCGGACCCCGGAGGATGGAACGTTGGTGAAAGTTTTGAAGTGCCTTGAGGAGCCTCCTGTAGGTGATCCATGTCTATTTGTCATTTTACGTCATTTAATTATACAGTAATAATACCATCTGTACTACCTTATATCTGTATTGTTTTAGTCTAACGCTAAACTACGTTCCTGTATCTGTGGGATAAAATGAAATATATCAAAACGAATAAGGAGAATAAATTATGGACACGGGTAATAAATTTTTATTAAGAAATAGAAAATAAATCAAATGATTAATGACTCAGTGTTGCAAATTGTAATTCAAATGGAACATGAACATACTCATGTCTTCATTTGATGTCCAGAGTATCATAGTGGCATATATACACGTTATATTTAGGGGAATGCGTCAGTGTTTCGTCCAGTTTATCTTATTTTCTTTCATTCGACACTACAGGATATCCCAAGAAAAATATGTCAACTTATTCCCCAATATTTCAAACAAATATGTCTATGTCTATGTACCATGCTGTTTATTTTGGGCCGTCTAAGAGAGAAATGTCTGGACGGCCTTTTTATAAATCCTCAACTAATTCCTTTTAGAAATGTAATGTTTTTGGGTCATGTTACCCTATGATGAATGTCTTCAGAGTTATGATACTGTTTCCTTGTAGCTGTTTGGTACTAATATCCCTCATTTCCTAGAGGTCTTTCTTCCCGTACGATTTTTCATCATTTTTTTTTCCTCAGCCCAACGATATTTGTAATATTACTTTTTAAGACATTATGACAACCAACCTTGTGTAAACTACATTTATTTTTGCTTTTCATTCCATGGTGATATTATATAATCCATCATTGTATAATGTTACACTTTTTCCAGGACTTTTTTCCCGAGTGTTTATTTGAGACTACTTCATGAAACTGTCAGTATGTCGTGATAATGTTAACTACCTCGATGACCTGTCAGGAATCGAAATATATCTAGCATTACTTTCATCACTTAGGTGTGTTAGTGTCCATTTTCCCTTTAACTGTGATTCATGTGTCATTATATCTAAATTCATTAACTTGCATAAGTTAAACCAGTGTCGCACTAGCCACACCGACTATAGTCTGAAGAGCCTCAAAGATAACTGTTGAAGACTTCAGAGATATGCTGGAGGCCAGCCTGTGTATCCCGCAGGATGCCAAAATCCCTGAGTCTCCTGGATGAGTCATCAACCCTTGTGTAGGTCATGACCATCAGCTTCTTCGTGTTGTCGTTGTCTGGTGTGAGTCCTCGATTTGCTGCGAAGTCCTTCATGTACTGCAACAGGACGACCAGGTCACGATCCACTTGGTCGACCTGCTGCAGCATCGTGGTCTCCAGAAGATAGAGATTCTGGTCGAGGAAGAGGTGCTCGAGGGCGACGATGTAGTGTTGCATAAGGCCGTAAGTCCTCACCAATTCATAGGAAAACTCTTTCGGAGTATAGACACCCGGGTTGGGCAGATCGGGTAAATATGGTTCAGGGATTGAACCCGGAGGATAGTCCTTCTGTGCGTCCTTCCACGTCTTGCCCAGTGTGCTCAATACCTGTGGTGTAAACATAAAAGAAATAGAAGATAATACACTTGGACTTGGGAACACTTAGTATAGCTAAAATATTAATGTCAGTTTGTACAATATGACACATCCATATAACCAATGCCAGTTCAGGAATGGATAACTGTGACAAAACCATTCAGGTTATGGCGTTAGAATGAAGATGCAAGGAATAAGCTACGATATCTAACATATTTACATTTTCAATGAAGGACCAAGTCGCTTGGTACTGGTCGATACTCACAAAGTCGTCCTTAAAATCGTCAATATAAGAGGAGCATATTGTGGCTTGTTGCACGAGGATGGTGGACATTTCTGCCACAGAAGACCCCACCCTGGTCTCCTGTACCACCACCAGCTCCTCCTCCTTTTCATCATCGCTTAACACCTTCGGGTTTTCTTGGCTTTTGGTTGCTTCATGAGTCCTCAAGAAATCTGACCTCCCCACTGGTGCCCAGTTCTCTATCGAAACTTTTAGTGGGTTCTCTGAATTCACGTTCCCCGTCTGCTCTCTGTCTTGGGAGTCGGGTGTGGTGGCAGTGTTTTGGGGGTTGGGTGTGGTGGTAGTGTTTTGACGATCTTGTATGGTGGCAATATTTTGGGGATCTTGTGTGGTGGCAGTGTTTTGGGGATCGTGTGTGGTGTCAGGATTAAGTGGGGCGGTATTAGTGGAAGCTTTCTTCGAGTTAGTTCCAGGTGACACTTCATTAACCCAGGATAAGATTGAGGTCGTGTCAGGACCATCAGCCAAGACAGAGGTCGGGGCGTACAAACACAGTCCGGCCACCAGTAACACCAGGGGTGGGGTCAAGATGTCTGCTGGCGAACAGAATAATACGGTTAGAAATGTAAAATGATACAACATACAGTGAAACACTCCCACCTGATTCTCAAAAAAATTGTACGGTAGATTTTACTTGCAGATACGGCAACATAACGCACCTAGACATGATTGAGTTCTCACTGCTGCAATATTTCGTTTTGTATGTCATCATTTTGCTTTATATCCGATAGATGCGTTCCTACATCTCCAGTAACGGGGAAAATATAACTCATGAATCTTTGAGAATCATAATTCCTTTCGAAAACTCACTACTTACCCGCCCATAATGGCTTGAAGGTATGGTTGTGACGGAAGAACCTACCAGTCATGGTTTCTTTCTTGAGGGTTAACTCTTCAAGACTCTTACTAAATATAGATGAAGAAGGTAAATACGCGTTAGATTAGAACCTTTGATCTTTCTCATTCACTCATCAATATTTTCATCCATCATGAATGGCTTAGATTTTTGTCCCCCAAGATGACTTAACATTTAACTTCTATATGATCAATGATTCTGCTACACTAGAATTTAATTACTTTTTTTTTTAAGTCAAAGAGATAGTCTGTTCTTATCACTTGATCTCAGTATCTTCCCTTCTTCCTCGCCGTCACCCACCTCGTCGTCTCTCCTCATCCTCTATATTGGTACATATAGTTCCACACAAACTCACTATTTACTAGATAGTTTCCATACAATTGACAGCATCAGGAAATCAACCTAAACCGCCTGGCTTTTTAGAGGTATGTGTGTGTCATATGTATCAGAGAGGGAATTAGCTCTCAACCAGTTTTTTTCCCCAACGTTGATCTAAACCATACTTACCGAAGACACAATAGCACGATCCTTTAGCCATTATGACTTGTCAGGTTTTTCTATATTGAAAGAGTCGCTCTTGGTTCCTCGAAGGTTGGTAAGTCGGTGCAGGGAGTTGTTCTCTGGATGCCTCTCTGGGGGGAATTCAGCTGAACACATTGATGGGCCGTAACATATACCACTGGATGGAGTTCTTGACGTCACGCTTGATTACGATAAGAATGATTAATTCGTTATATTCTCCCCTCCCCTGATTATCTTGTCTTAGTTAATTGTAAGAATTTATTTTTATATCCCATTATCTTTGGAATAATTTATACATCAAGAAAACCAGAGTGTGCATTAATTTTTTGTTCTTAAAGTAAACTTATATTTACTGGGGTTCAGCAAATATTCTGGTCAGGTAAGACGACTCCAGATCTGGTAAGGCAATAATATAGGTCACTCAACACCTCTATACAGGACATCATCCTTCAAATTAATACACAGACCCTCCTGGAAATAAGCACTTGACAGCTTTATCCTATGTCAAATTGCCTTACTGCTTACCAATGTTGTTCACCTGCACTGCCTTGGGCTCTCGGCACACGTGAGACTGTATACTCCAGGACCGACGTGCGCCGTATACCTACATGGTCTACAATATATTCATGCTGAACTCTATACCTGCATAGTTTATAAAGATGCCTATACAATTGTAAATCTGTATGCAGTGACTGAGTTCATAATATTATTCAATTTGAAGGAGAGGAAGTATATAAATCAGAAAAATTTACAAAGGGATAAGACATTGCCGTCTTGATCTCTCGCCAGATAAGCTGGATAACCTTGGGAGCGGCCGTCAATGAATACCCCAGCCGCAGTTAGTCAGCCCAGACGCCACATCTACTGACCAGTCTGATGGATATGTTAGCGAATGAGGAAGGATTTTGCACCAAAACCCAAACGGAGACCAAATGTTGACGGCTCTTGTTGATCTCTCTCTCTCTCTCTCTCTCTCTCTCTCTCTCTCTCTCTCTTTCTCTCTCTCTCTCTCTCTCTCTCTTGCGTTCATAAATTCACGTCATACCTGTCAAGATCCTCTGTGTGTCTGACCAGCTAATTCGAGGGTTAGTTAAACGAGAGGTTAGGTTAGCATAGGGATCACTAAATTTAGATTAGGACTATGCAGGGATAGGAGAGTTAGGGAAGTTTAGAGTATAGTTTGGGAAGGTTAGCGTAGGGTTAGGGTAGGGTTGGGGAAGGTTAGGGTATAGGGTTGCAGGTTAGGAAAGATTAGGATAGGTTTAGGTATTATGTGGAAATGGAATAGCATTTCATGGGTAACCTCTAAAGAGTTGTTGTTGTTGTTGTCACCATCATTATCATAATGAAAGCATAACAAATGATAAAAATGGTTAAAAATGGCAACTGAGAAAATCTCGAAAAAAGTTTACAAATCCAGAGATAACAAGAGTGACTATCTTAATTCTCCTGTTATCAAATCCTTGTTTCCGGGATGATAATGAACATGTTGATAATAAATTGTTCTCCTTGTGATATAAACCAGCGATAACGGCGAGCCGAGAGGACTAAAAAGGTCTGATTATCTCTGGCAGTGTGATGTTAGCCTCACAGGTAGCCCCCCCCCCCACCCTCAACCCCCTGCCAGGTGATCCAGATTAATGTGATGATGTAACTTCCTCGTCGCCGTTCTCTAACAGCTCAGTCTGCCTTGCGTGTCTTGCCTGCTCACATATACCTACATAATTTCACTGAATAGAGTATTTTTATTGTTCACAGAACTACCAGACACTGCAACACAGAGGTCGAAAAGTTATTGTAGCTTTAGGTGAGTCTATGTGAATCAGACAGCTTCACCCTGTGGAGTCTACCTCAATGCTCGGGGACCGTAGGACTAACCAGAGGACTTGACAACACTGCTGTAAGATCTGTAGGTTTTAAATGAGGTTTAGTTTGGTTGTTTGTCTTCAATAGGATTTTCAAACTCACCTTCCCTTGCCTACCTTCCTATGGACCTGCATTCTTTGCGTTAAAATAGCATGGAATGATCATGTAAAACAAAATCATGATATAATACGGCGGAACCAAACTGGGCAGTTATTCAGTGAGTTCTGTGTCATTAGATTTAGTCTGTAAGTTGTCTTTATCAGTTACCATTATGGGTTTGGCTTAAAGGTTCCTGCTGCCATTGCTACTAAGATATCTTAAATGTTGGTCAACACTTTTCTTTGTAGTTAGTTGGTTGTTGTACTCAGAGGACCGATTACACTTACAGTATAATGTGTGAGCGTGTGATGATGAGGTTGGCTTGGGCGGTTCACGACAACTTGTTTTTTACACAAGTTAGTGTTTAGTGACTTGCAGTTTGTTCTGTTTGTGACAGAAGGTTGATGAAGAAATTAAAGTTAGTCATAAATTATACTTCTTTGCAGACTGGGTCTAATAAATACGAACTTTTTCAACTCATTCAACAGTTTATATGTTTATCACCAAATCTTAATGTTGATGTGAGTGTAATAGATAGATAGACAAATAAACATTACAAAAACTATAATACATGCAGGGAAACTTCTGCCAAACTTCAGGTGTTTATTTGACGAGTTCATTAGCAAAGATTGAGAGAGTAAGTGTGTTAAATAGAGATACGATAACTTCGTAATAATTTAGATTTTGGTCTTTTCTTCGTGGAATATTCCTTGTTTATAATAAACCAATTAAACACCTGAAGTTTGGCATAAGTTTCCCTGTATATGCAAATTAAATTGTTTGCTTTAAGCCTAATGCATTATACTGTAGTTTAATCTTATCATCATCGTGCCTCCCGATGATGGTGAAGCACATGTACATACCATGTTCCAGTCGTTGAATCCTTTGAATTATACATTGACAACAATTTACAAATTTGTATGGGCCAATACACCTTCGGAATGTACAGGACGTATCAGTCTGTATGCATCATAATGTCAGCGTTGGTGATAGTTTTTGACTGAAGGTTTACATGTCCTCGTGTAACCACTGAGAATGAATCTTGGAGTTTATTCACGACATGAAACGAGCTCTTGGCATGTCATAGATAAATCCTGATACATTACGATGATAACATTTAGATTACATCATAGACGTGCTGGAGGGCGACTCGGGTGTCACGAAGAAACACAAAGTCTCTCACATTCCTTTTTCCTTGATCGGACTCCCGTTTGTAAATAACTTGCAGACTGCGAGTGACGAGGTTATCTGGCACGAGTCCCTGAGTTAAGACACAGTCCTTGAGATAATCCAAGATTCCCTCTAAGTAACGTGCTGTACTATCCACTTGCGTCATGTAGGACCCTCTGTAGAAGACTTGGTCGAGGAAGAGGTGCTGGAGAGCTATGACGTAGTGTTGGAGGAGCGAGAAGGACTTCACCAATTCGGAGTTAAAGTCACCAGCGTTGTAGGAGGTAAATTTAGGGACAACTGGAAGGTAGGGTTCCAGGATGTACACGTCAGATGTGGTACACTCCGCCCCGTCCTCCTTGTTGCACGTCTTGGGTGGATTCTCCTTGTCAGCAACAGTCCACCTCTTACCATATGTTCCCATTACCTATGAAAAAGAACGACCTATTTTGAACTTCTGTCTCTACATGTGATTTTATTTTTAATATTTTCTCAGTAAGTTCTAATTGATGTTTTAATCACCCATATGTAGTAATTATTAGATATTTCTATCTTTAAGACTAACCAGTGATGCCATGGTATTAATTTTATCTGCCGGATTTCGTGTTCTAAGTTTAAACACTTACGTACCTGATCCTTTACAAGAGTAAAATCTTAGTGTTAGAAATTCTTAAAAAAAGATAATAAATAAATACTTGCAAATTTGTTTTTAAAACCGTTTATATAACTGAGACAGACGCTGATCTTGTTGCGAATGTTGCTGGCCATGGTTGTGGTTGTGTCAGTAGCAGAGCTCACATTAAGACCTGCTTCCTGTACCCCAGACGATGACGGCGACGCTGGGGATTTGGATCCTTCCTGGTCCGGTGGGGACTTGGATCCATTTAGGCCAGGAGAGGATTTCGTCTTACGTATACCAGACGAGTCTCTTGATCCTAATGTATGTCTTTCTGTGTCGAACGACGCCAGATCCAGGGGGACTGTGAGTTTACTATCGCTGGGGTCAGAGGTGGAGGTAGTGTGGCTAGGGTCAGAGGTGGAGGTAGTGTGGCTAGGGTCAGAGATGGGGGTGATGTAGCTGGGGTCAAGGGTGGCCTGGGTAAAGCCGAAGTTGTGTGTGGTCACGTTGAAGACCACTAACAGGAGGACCAACTTCATCCTTGCTGGAGATAAACAACAAGACGTAAATAGATCTTTAAATGCGAAATTTGTCAGATGTTCATCTCGGTGTAAAACTGAGTGGGTTTTGTTTTTCGCCCGACTGAATTTCTTACAATAGGAAAGCAACCGGGGATTTGGACAAGTGATGCAGGAGATGTCAACATTGCTTATATTTCCGAAGTGAATGTGTGAGTGGCTAGTTTACTTCATGCTACAGAAACTTTTGTTCAATCAATTAGATCTAAACGGATTCCGTGAGTATCGTTATTTTTTGGTTTTACACACACACACACACACACACACACACACACACACACACATGTGTTTACAGTACTCGCAGATAATGAAGGTTAATACCTGCAGGTGCTGCTCTTGACTATCGCAAAGATGATGTTATGTTGATGTTGAGTGTTTTCACTGAACTGACAGAAGCTTGGTCTGTCGCCTCTCAGGTACTGGGAGTTGTTCACCAGGTGAATATCTGGTAACAAACTTGTCACTTTATGTTAAGCGTGGCAGCTCAACCGACCGAAATTTGGCGTATGGCCGAAGTGTGGTTCAAACAGCGACAACACGAACATTTATACCCCAGAAGTCCTGGAGATAAGGAAATCTATTAATGACATAACAAATTTTTGTATGACGATTCTGCCGACGTGGTCTCGTAACTGGGATTACCGGCTCTCGGTCCTTCATGCAGTGAGTCGTATATCAAACAGTTGTGTGGAAGGGTTTCGGTAACACGTTTTATTACTCGGTGACGAAAGATTCGCACTGTGAAATTTTTTGGGGGAACAAGCACGTTGCTGGTCCTGACAAGTTCACACTCAGCTCTCGTCGTGAGTCATGCTGTGTGTGTCATGAACAAATATTTTTTACCAGCATTATTACCATGCATCAAGGAATAGTTGTTGGTGTTGTTTAAAGTGTCCCAACAGTACGAATTATTAAGTACCGTACACTAGTTATGTCGTATATGGCATTTGCGAAGAAGTTAAAGGCGCTTAAACTGGTATTATTTGAATACATTTACAGTATGTGCTTCGACGGTCTGTCTTTCCGCATCTTTCACTAAGTCTTTCTACACTAGAGAACAACTTTTAAAATCTAAGAAAGTTACTCTGTCTGCTCACAAAAACTATTCCTTCCTTTCTCCTGAAACAGTCATGTAATATGATTTACTTCGCCATATCGTCATTGGTGTTAAGTCACCAGAATGATATTTAAATCTTATAATTCTTTTGTGTGTTGTTTTCAG